GCAGTCTTGTATCTCTGGCCCACGGCCCCAGGTTCCTGAAGGATGCCATGTGGAGACAGGACAAGAGGGACATTTCCTCTGAGAAGGACAAATTGAAGCAGCTTAAGGACCAACTGACCGTTATGGAGCTGAACTTCCTGACCGAGTATCAGGTAGCGGAAGGGCCCAGCACGGGGTCGCAGAGACTGCTCCCCCACCCCCTGCCACTGAGCTGAGCACAGAGTGAGCAGTGCCCTGTGTGCAGTTAGCTGGGGGAGGGGCCAACAGCCATTCCATCCCGAGAGAGCCTCCCCACCCTAGAAAGTCACTCCTTTGGGTTGGAAGCCATGTCCCGCGTCAGAAAGTCAATTCAGCTTAAAAGAGCAGAGGCTGAAGGAGCCTGTCCCGGGGCCTGCTCGAGGCTGAGGAGACCCAGGCTCAGCATGGAACCTCGGCCTGCATCCAGACACAGCACATGCTCTGTGCCACACCCTGAGGCTCTAGGGCCAAGAAATGGGGTCCCCACCCTCCAGTGGGTTGAGAGGGTTAGAGGCCTCACCTTCCCAGAAGACACAGGGGCCCGGGGAGGTGGGGTGCTTGCAGGGGAGCCTTTTGAAGAACCGCAGCAGTTGGCCAGATGTACGCAAAGAGGAGGACTGGTGAGAGGGAGGAATCAGACAGGCCTGTGGAAAGGCACGGGGGCACAAGGGAGGTTGGCAGTGAGCACTTCGGATCAGAGGAGCACGGAAATAGACAGGAGGGAGATTGGGCAGGCTAACGGGGAACAAGGACAAGAGGTAAAACTAATCCTGACTCCAGGATCGTAACACTGTCACCATCAGAGTGGGCTTGACCCGCAAGTGCAGAGAGTGCTGGGAACCACCAGTGGGCCTGCAGTGGGTGGGGGGCTCACTGGGGTCAGCCAGTCCTCTCGGGGCTGCAGCTCAATTTCCCTCCACCCTCTTCTGGGCTCCCCATCCACACAGTCTCCCTTCCATCCCTGCAGTGCTAAACACTCCCAGATGAGTTTGCCTCTCACCTCTTATCAGGCTCCACTGGATCACGTGTCCATTCTCGATCCAATCCTTAGAGCTAAGGGAGAACCATCTGCCAACTGACTGAGGTCTGGGGCAAGGCTGATGGAATTATCTTGATTGGCTTAGGCTGATCAGCGCCAACCTCCAAGCTGGGGCAATCTCCCCGCCTCTTGGTTGTTTACCAACCATCTGGGCAAGTGGGGCACCGAGACATGGGGAGGAGGCCGGGGGGTGGAGTTCTGTGATAAACTGAAGGTTCGATTCTAGTCACAGCAAGAACCGAGAGCTAGACCTGGTTTGCCCCACTCTGGAGTCAACTGTGCTCTCCCCGCCAAGCAGGACTGTCCAAAGGCCACCCTGTCCAAGAAGGCAACCCACATTAACTCCACCCAGTTCCGGCTCTTCTAAAGCTTAATGCTTTCTTTTGGGCTGACATCTCTCCCTTGCCCCTTCCACCTGTAAGGAATAAACCCTAAAGGCAGGGATATGTCTCTGCTGTCGGCTTGGGGACTCTGTCAGCATGGATGGAGGCTTGTCAGCCCCGTCCAGTTCAGAGGCTCTCAGTTTGCCCACCAGACGGGAGGTGTCCCCTCACCACTCAGGGCTCCCCTGGGCTGGACCGTGCCTGCAGACCAGAGTTGCCCTCGCAGAGGTAGGAGGCATCCCTGCACAGGGACACCGTCCCCGCTGGTTGTTGCAGAGATCGCTGCAGATTCGGATCGATGAAGACTACAGGAAGTGGCTGCGTCACAAGCTGTGCCTGCCTGAGCCTGCTCTAGTGTCTGGGAGCTCGGCCAGGGTCCCGCTGGTCCCAAACCTTGCGGAGATGTTGCCTTCCATGAGCGCGCGCTGCACCCAAGAAGCCCGCCGGCTGCTGGCACAACAGGAGCAGCTTCAGGAGGCTAGCAAGGCCCACCTCACCCAGCTCCGGGAGGCCAGCAAGGACCACCTTACCCAGCCCCAGCTGGCCAGCAAGGCCCGCCTCACCCAACCCCAGGTCCAGCTTGCTGGGTGGAACTTCTGCACCAACCCCGCCAGGGCCCCCGTTACCCAGATTGGCCGCCCGCAGGGCATCCGTCTGGGCGTGCAGCCAGATCCGGACCCAGAGCACGACCTCTCCTGCTTCCTGGAGGTGAGCGTCCCCAGGTCGGGGCATGCGCAGCTGCTGACGAGGACCGGCCAGAAGGTGGTGCCCCTGCCCCGGCTGCCTTTCGAGGTGATCTTTGGCACCCTGTGCCCTTCCCAGCAGCCCTGCAGAATGAAGGTGCCAGAGGGCCTCCGCCCTGAGGGCCTAAGCCCCGTGCCAGGGAAGCGGCACTGGGCTAATGCCTTCTGGACTGACACGCTGGCCATGAACCTGCGCGAGACCTTTGAGGATGCCTTCGTGTCTGCTGTGCGGGCCCACCAAGGGCCCCCGAGTCCACCCTCCCCTATGGGGCCCCCATAAACTTACTCCGGGAGCCTCGACTCGAGGCAGTCCCAGGAAGGCAGGTATAGTGATTCGTACTGCAGATGGGGGGCAGGACAGGCGTCAGAGCCCACAGTTGCCCAGCCCAAACCCAGGAGCACCACCCCGCGCCCCCATGAAAGCCCAGACACACACACACACACACACACACACATTAATGGGGCACCACCTCATCCTCACTCTCCAAAACAGCCAACTCACAACAGAGAGCCACGACTCAGAGGTGAGCACTGGAAAAGTGACACTTTGGCGTCCCCTGTTCTGCCTCTCCCCCAACAACCCACCAGGGGTGACGCTCCCTAGATGGAAGGGCCTCTGGTTCCATAAAGCCCCTGCTTGTGGCTGGCCTCAGCGCCTCCCTCTCCATCTCGTCTCCAGGAGGGGCTGGAAGACAGATTTTTTTTTTTTTTTTGCTTTTTGGGTCACACCCAGCGATGCATAGGGGTTACTCCTGGTTCATGCACTCAGGAATTATTCCTCGCTGTGCTCGAGGGACCATATGAGATGCTGAGAATCGAACCCGGGTCAGGCTGCGTGCAAGGCAAACACCCTACCCGCTGTGCTATCACTCCAGCCCCTGGAAGACAGCTTAACGTGGGGGCTCTGGCACATTACAGGGGGCTGCACTGGGGCTCTTCTAATGGGGAGGGACACAGGTGGCAGATGGAGGTGTAGGGAGAGAGGGCCCCGGCTGCAGGAAGACCACACGCAGCACTGCTTCCTCCGGGAAGCAGCTCCTGGGGTCCAGCACTGGCCCCCAACACACACATAACACACATCAACACACAACGTCATTAAACAAACATTTATTGTTATCAACAGCCAGAAACTGTTGATACAAAAACAGAAGGGTGGTCCCTGCCCTCAAGGAGCTTACAGTCTAGTGGTGAGAGACGGTGGCGGTGAATGGGCAAAGTCCCTCCGGTAAAGGGACAGTCGAAGTTCCTTAGAAGAGGTAAACTCTTTAAGTTGAGGACTGCGGGAGAAGGTAGGCCCAGGGGAGTGAAAGAAAGAACCACAGCAGCAGCTTGGGCACTGGCCGGGCCCCAGCCTGCAAGGTCCAGGTGATGAGGCCAGAAGTGGGCCAGAAGCCCAGGAGCCCGGTTGAACACTGGGGTCTGGACTTGGTATTTAGGGCAGTGGGGAGTCCAGGGTGGAGTGGGGTGGAGGGCTGTGGACCAGGAAGTGACTTGACCAACTGCCTTTCCACTGATCTGGGACAGAGAAGCCAGAGGAGGTTGTCACAATAATCAGGTGACAGCTGATGAGACTAGGCGTGGCTGGTGTAAACCAAAAGGATGTCCACAAGGCGGATGGAGCAGTTCTCAGACGGGCGGCGAGGAACGCACATACCCGCAGGCTGGTGCCCAGGCACAGCGGGGGCGGGAGAGGCAGGTCTGCCAAGGGCCACTCTGGGTCACAAGAGTTGCCATCTACGGAGCCACAAGGTGGCAGGCCTGTGGCTCAGGACACCACGGGGAGCACGGGGGTCTGGAAGACTCGATTCCTTGGCAGAGTCCATGCAGCCATGAGCAGGTGGGGGCTGCCCCGTGGCATGCCGGAAGGAACCCTGAGAAACCCCAGTGGGCCTGGGGCGAGAGGGGAAGTCTGTCCAGGTAGGAGGGGGTGGGGCTGCCCGCCGAGCCAAGGAAGTACAAGGCCAGCAGCTGTGCAGCTCATCATCCCCGGCAGGGGCTGCGGAGATGCAGGAAGGCAAGAAAACGGGTCTCTGGATTGGGGTGTACACAGGCCTCTGGCACCCTGGGGAGGATGGTCCTTGATGAGGGTGTCCAAGGGAGAGCCCTTGTCATCGTCTGCACAGGATAGAGGGCCTGGCAATCTTACTCCCAGCAAGAAATTAACACTGGGCGGGGATGGGAAGACGGGGAAGGGGTGGGCACGGTGGGACCCGAGGCAGGGTCAGGGCATCCACTCAGGTCTTCCTGTAGCCTGCAAGTACCACACGTCTAGAGCATCCGTGTGGGGTGGAGGAGGGCAGGGATGGCCCTCCAGGGGCCCCACTCAGAGCTGATGGGTACTTGCAGGTTCCCAGTGCCTGCTGCTGCCTCAAGTCCCCACTCCCAATGCACGGGAGCCCGTTCGTATTTTGTTTCTCCCTGAGCTAAGATAGAATTCAGCCAGAAGCCACGTCTTGCGCACCCCCAGAGGCTGACTCAGATGTAGAATATTATGGTCTTATCTGAAAACCCAACCTAGTCCCAGGCGGTCCCCTTCGCTCCCCCCAAGCCTGGCAGTTCAGTGCCTCCCACCCTGGCCCCCCCCACCGCCGGGAAAGATGAGATGATGAAAAGGGGGGGCTGAGAAAGGCCGCCTCTCCGGCCAGCCCCCCGCCCCTCTTCACTGCTCATTCTGCCCCACCAAATAGCCTAAGAGCAGTCCCTTCAGAAAAGCAAGTCCAAAACCCAGACGAGGAGCCCTGGGAAGGATGCCCCCACCTGGTCGGGGCAGGAGGGCAGCGGGCAGAGAGGGAGAGGGACTGCAGGGCATTAAGGCAATCAGGGCCACCTAGAATCTTTATTCAAAGGGGAATCAGCACTTGGACAGGAATCACAGTTCAACAGCAAAAACTACTTCTCTTCGGAGAGGCAGGCCGTGGCCCTCCTGTGGGCCATCGTCCCAGAGAACTTGTCACTGTCTGTTCTCTCGCGTCATGGCCCCTGCCCGGTCCATTCTGACTGAGCCCACCCCCCGCCCCCCACACCCCGACCCGCACGGGCCGGTCTGAGGGAACTCAGCCGCTGTGCAAGTAGGGATTGAGGCCTCCCGGCGGGGCCGACTCTGCCCCTCGCCCCAGTGTCCTCTGAGGTCACAGCCTGATGTGATGTGGCATCGGATCCGAGCCCAGGTCTGCACAGTCCAAGGACAGTGGGGATGGGCGCTTCGGGGCAAGTCCAGGGACAGAGGCTTTCCAGGCCTGAGCCCCCATCTGACCCTCCGACCTCGCTCGGCACCCCCTGGCCAGAGGGATCAGTACATCTTCTGACGACTGGGCAGGATGGCCTCTTTGATGAAGGAGAAGACAACCAGGATCCCTAAGCGCTTGCCCCGCTTGCCTTTGGTGAAGTAGTTGGAGACCACGTCATCTGCGGGAGACACCGCCGGGAGTGAGGGTGCAGGGGCTCCCCGGCCTGCCCCATGACCCCGCACAGGCCCCCGCTCACCTCCGGGCTGCATGGTGGACGGCAGGACGTTCTCCCCCGCCGACAGGGACACGAAGAACGCAAATGGGATTATCCACAGACAGAACGTGAAATAGGCCAGGACCTGGCGACGAGAGGCTGAGCAGATGCTGCCCCAGGAGGCCCCCGGGGGGGGGGGGGGGAAGCGGGTGTGGGCACTGCGACTACGAGAGGGGCCTCTAGCTCTCAACCACAGGGACAAGCCACAGCTGGCGCACGCCCCCACACGGGGAACCCTGCTCCTCCCCAGAAGCCCAAGCTAGAGGGAGAGGCGGTGGAGGAAGCCTCAGAGAAGCCTTGGCAAGGAGCAGAATTTGCAGCCACGGACTCCCATCCCATGTCCCATCCTGGCTTCTGAAAGTTTGGCTGAATCCTGGGCAGACCCAAAGCCATCCACGGGGGGGAGGGGGGATAAAGCTGAGCCCTCCTACCCGCGCCCCACTGTGGTGTCAAACCCCCACACTAGGTCGATCGACACAGGTTCACCCAGAGAGGTGGTTGGGTGGTTGCAAGTCAGAGCCGAGCTCACAACGCCTACGGCGTCTCCTTACTCTCCTGGCCTGCCCCTCACCTCCCCCTCGCTGGCCCCTTCTTACCTCTGAAAAGGGGTAATATTCCTCTGCAAAATACTGAAATGCTAGGTAATGGTTCACCACCACTAGGCCTGCGAAGGGAACAAATTCTCGGTCAGTTGAGTGGGATCCATGGGGCCGGGAGCCCTGCTCCTCGGCCAAGCGTAGCACCCTCCAGAACTCAGTCTCCCTACCCCCGCAAAACGGGGGAGAAGCAGCCCCCCTTGTTCTGCAGAGGGTACTGAGGAGGGAAGACAGGCAGAGAAGGAAGTTCTTTGCCGACATAAGGTGCCTTGGGGGGTGGGGGTGGGCAGAGAGTACAGGTGCTCGCCGGGCACAAGGTCAGTTCCATCCCCAGCACCCTACGGTCCCCAGAGCACCACCAGGAGTGACCTCTGCCTTGTACACACAGATAGTGCCCAAGCACCGCCAGGTGTGGGCCAAGAACTAAAACAAGGGGCACTCAAAACGGAAGGCCCACGAGCTAGCCTGGCCATGTGCAGCACGCCCCCTGGTGGCAGTAGGAGGTCATGGCGTGCAGAGGACAGACAGGGGGGGGGGGGGGGGTGTTTGCCCCTCCCCGGCTCTATGGGGCACAGCTGGCTGGGTGCTGGGGGGTGTTCGGATCCCTCCAGATTCTGGGGCAGGGGGTTCCTTCAGCAACCTGCCGCAGTGGGGAGGCACACAGCTCTGAGCTGGTGTGCCCGGACACTCCCCACCACAGCGTGAGTTGAATTCATGGAGGGGTGAGTCAATGTGCAGACCCGGGGGGGCAGGAATCCTGCCTCTTCCACAGTGGGATGAGGGCGGGCCCCAGAAGGGGGCATTCCTTGAATACACCTCGCGACCCCGCGACTCTTCTCCGCCCTGGCCTCTCCCCCTTCCAAGGCAAAGACCACAGCTCGGCCCCCCCTTAGATGCACCTCTGGGCTACAGGGGACACTGGGGGACAGGGAGGCTTCAGTGCCCACCAGATCCTTCTGGAAAATGCTCAGGCCCCGGGAGGCAGTGAGGGTGAGGAAGGGAAGTGGGGGAGGTTGCAGCTAGAGGGGTGGGTAGGATCTCCCCACAGGGAAGAGGCAGGAGGGGCCAGGAATTCCGGGGACGACTCCCCAAAGCCTCCCCAGTTGAAAACGTTGCTGGTATTGGGGTTCTTCATGGTGAAAAATAAGTGTTGGTAAAGGGAAATGTGCTTGATATTTGCATGACCGAGACCTAAACCTGAAAGCTTGGTAACTTTTCCCACAGTGATTCAATAAATAAATAAATAAATAAATAGAAGTTCCTGGGTGCAACGCCCCCCACCGAGACACTCAGGGAGGAAGTGGCCAGCCCTCCCTCCCATCACAGAATCCTAAGGCCATGCTTTCCTCGCTTCAGCTCACAATCACAGGCCTCACGGAGGAGCGTCTCCTTCCACAGAAACAGCCAAGCAGCTCTGACGTTGGCCCCGGTCCCCCCAAAGCTAAAAGGGGTGTGAGCAACGGCTGAGAGGGAACAAGGCCACCGGGGTAGCCAGAACCTTCCGGCACCTTTCCTGCAAATACCTAGACGCAATGATGATGCGCCGGTCTCACGTCTCCCACACATAATCCCTGACACGACACAGACGTTAAGGCCAGAGAAAGACAAGACACTCTGGGTCGAACCAGGAAGGCACCTGGTCGAGGACGTCACTAAGCAGAAAAGCGCATACCCTGCATGCCTGGGATCTCCTGGGTTCCATCCCGGTGCTCCCTCTTCGCCTCAACCCCCCTCCAACCCCCCCACTGTTACTGTCCTCCCGTTGTTCCTCGATTTTCTTAAAGCCCAGTAACGTCTCACTGTGACACTTGTTACTGTGTTTAGCGTATCAAATACGTCACGGGGAGCTTGCCAGGCTTTGCCATGCGGGCGAGATACTCTCAGTAGCTTGCTGGGCTCTCCGAGATGGGCAGAGGAATCAAACCTGGGTTGGCCAGGTCGGCCTAGTGCAAGGCAAACGCCCTACCTGCTGTGCTATCGCTCCAACCCCCCCACAAAGGTTTTAAAATGTAGTGGCAGGGCAAAGGCCGGAAGCCAGGTCCTCCACACACATCTGCCCACCCGAGGCAGCTGCCCACAGGCCATGCCCCATGAGGCCCTGGCCTGAATGCCGGGGTTGCCACACTGGCTGGGAAGCTGCCTGTGTCCGGCTTTTTCTGCTTGAGGAACTTCTCAGGCGGCCTTCTTGCACCTGCTCCTCAGACTTGGTATGGGAAAGCCTCCTGGGTTTAGGCACCCCAGCCGCCCTGGCCCCTCGCTTCCCCTGCCCCTGCCATTCATGCTAGATCGCTGCCAGGGAGAACACCATCCTCCCTCTCGGCCTGGCCCGCCACTCATTTTTTTTGTTTTTTGTTTTGCTTTTTGGGTCACTCACACCCGGCGATGCTCAGGGGTTACTCCTGGCTCTGCACTCAGGTATTACTCCTGGCTGTGCTGAGGGGACCATATGGGATGCTGGGAATCGAACCCGGGTTGGCTGCGTGCCAGGCAAATGCCCTACCCACTATGCTATTGCTCCAGCCCCATGGCCCGCCACTCTTGACCAGCTCCCCTTCCCTGAGTGGGGGCGCGTCCTTCATCTCACCAGACCCCCCCAACCCCATCCCCTCTCACCGCACGACAGGATGAAGTTAGGCGAGGTCAGCATGATGAAGGGGAAGGTCTGAAGAAGGCCAAAGTACACGAGGTTGGTGAAAAGGCCCACGCCAATCATGAAGGTGGGGAAGTGCTCAAATATGTAGAGGCCAATCAGCACAGCCGTGGAGAACTGAAAACAACCAGAGACACAACAATGCAAGGAGCCTCTGCCAGGCAGCCTTCCTGGAATTCACTAACCCACTGCCCACCCAGGGCCACCCCAGGTTCAAGCTTTCTTCTCTCCATTTCACAATCACAGGTATTGTGTCCTCCACCTCCCAGCAGCTCTCAGCTCCAGCCACTCTTTATGCAACTTTTTAAGTTTGTGGGGGCTGGGGCCCAATTCAAAGGCAAAACACATGCCTTTGTGTGTGAGGCCCTGGGTTTGATGTCCAGTTCCGCAAAAGCAGAACAGGGCCACAGAGATCATACAGGAGCTAAGACACTTCCCTTGCATGTGGCTGACCCCAGTTCAAACCCCGGCAATGCATATGGCCACCCCCTACCTTCACGCAGGAAGCTGGCAGTAGCCTGAGCACTGCTGAGTGTGTCCCCCAAACCCAAACAAAACAGAAACAGCAGTGTTTTGGCTTTGGTTTTTTTGTTTTTGTTTTTGTTTTGGCAACAACACAGGAAATAAACCCATACTATGAACCCAACACTCACAGTTGAGTTTTGGAAGGGGCCTGAGGTCACACCCAGTGGGGGTCAGAGTCTGGCTGTGCTCACCTCCAGGCAGGGACACTCCTGGCTACACTCAGGCGACCATGTGGTACTGGGGATCAAACTGAGGTCAGCCACATAGAGGGCGTATGCTTTACCTCCTACACTCTCTCTCTGGCCTTCAAATCTCAGACTGGAGTTCAAGTCCTTTCCATTCCGCTCTTTAACAGAAAACATTGGCCATGCCCTACAGAACTGCCCGCATCACCCACAGATGAGCCCCGTCAGCACTGGAAACCTTAAGAGCCGTCAACATTTTGCAAGCGGCAACTGGGGGGTTGGAGCAACTAGTACAGTGGGTCAGGCGTGTGCACACAGCTGACCCGGGTTCGATCTCTGGCATCCCATATGGTCCTCTGGGCACTGCCAAGAGTGATTTTTGAGCACAACGCCAAGAGTAACCCCTTGAGCACTGCCAGCTGTGGCCTAACCACCCCCCAAAAAGTAGCAAAGGGCCGCGGGAAGGTCCAGCTTGTGTCTCACCCCCCATGACCTGGGCCTCTAAACCCAGAGCCGAGTTGTCTCCACCACTCAACCACTGCCCGCGGTTACGGCCCAAGTGGAGGGGGCTGCTGAGCTCAGGTGACTTGCCACTGGGCTAACCCTGCCCCATGGCAACCCATGACCACCCTCAGCCTTTCCTGCAGGGGGCAGGACTCATCAGGCGTCCCTGCTGTGGCTTGTGTCTTTGAGAAAAGAAGCCTTCCATGAGAGCAGGGGAAGGCATCGTCCTCCTCCAACAGGGCACCGGACCCAACTCGAGAGGGGAGCAGCAGGAGGGGGGGGGGGCTAGGAGTTAGAGACCCCAGAAGGCAACAAAGGCAAAGTTAGGCTCCTACCAGAGACCAACGTGCACCCAGCCCAAAGACCAACGTGTACCCAGCTGTCCCGGGAAGGAGCCCAGAGAGGGGTCTGCAAGTCAAGACTGGGGCTGAGGGAGCAGGCCCAGGGAGCAACACAGAAGACTGGGGAAACGGGGCAGGACCCACAGATGCCTTCACCAGGGCCGACACTGCCCACCTCCCTCTGGAAGGACAGGAGTTAGGACAGGGGTTGAGACACTGGCATCACATATGGCTGCCCCGGGGGGTTGATACCTGGCATCACATATGGTCCCGGAGGACAGAGTCAGGAGTAGGCAACAGCTGGATGTGACCCGGCACCCCCAGTCACCCCTCCCTCCCGTCCCCCCTCAATAAAAACCCAGAGAAAATCCTGGGGGGCGGCTGCCACTTACCCAGATCATGTATTTGATGACCCTGCTGGTGACCACTGTGTACTCCTCGATCAGCTCTGCCAAGTAGTAGAGGCCAGCAGCTGCGGGGACAGTGAGAGGGACCAGTGGGCCGGCCTGTCCAGCCCCGTCCTCCCCGCCTCTGGCGGAGGAGGGGGTGGCGGTGGTGTGTGCTCATCTGCCTTGCTCAGGCTCCAGAAGTGCAGCGGACCACCCCAAGCCCGCGGGGTGCCCTCCCAAGTCAAGTCGGGAGTGTAAGTGACACCTCGCGGGCAGCCGGGTTTGACTTCTGGCCCGAGCCGGCCCAGAAGGAGCCATTTCCCCGCCCCGCGGAACTCCGCCGAGCACTGTGCGGGCCGGGTGCTGGGCTGAGTCCTGAGAATACGGGACCAGGATATGAGGCGGGAGTGGTTGGTGGTGGTCGTAGTGGTTGGTGGTGCTGCCCGCGGATAATTAGGGGGGGAGGGGGGTGGGATAGGGGACGCGGGCAGGACTGTCCCAGCAAGGGCTACTTTCCGGAAGAGACCAGGCGCCTAAACCCAAGAGTGCTTCCCGGAGGAGGTGCGCTCCCTGGCGCCAGCAAGGAAGGGAAAAGGCGCCGCGAAGAGAGAGGGAGCGTGTCCAAGTCCGAGGCAGCAGGAAGCAGGACCGGCCCGAGGCGAAAGGGCGGCGGCGGGAGGAGAAAGTCCGACGCCGCGGGTCGCCGGGTGGCCGCGGGCTGGACGCGGCAGCAGCTGCAGCTGCCGGACAACTGGGCGGGAAAGCCCCGGGCACTAGCCTAGCCGGGCGCGCTCGGTGACACCTGCCCGGCCGCGGGGAGGACACGCCAGTGCTGGGCCGGGCCCCCCGCCCCCGCCCCCGCCCCGGGCTGGAGGGGTTCAGGGTTTGGGGGGTGGGGGGAGGACGACCCGCGCGGGCCGGGGGGTCGCGCACTCTCACCGACGGCCAGCGTGATGAAGGCCACCTGGATGAAGAGCGAGAGCCAGCTCAGCACGTACATGAACCACATGGCGCCCCCCGCCCACCGCCGGGCCGGGCCTGCGCGCTTCGGCCCCGGCGACACGGAGCCGCCGCCGCCGCCGCCGCCGCCGCCGCCGCCGCCGCCGCGTCCCCCGTCCCCGCCCCGCGGCCCGCTGGACTGTCGTGCGCCGCCGCCGAGAGGAGTCGGAGCCGAGCGCCGCCCGCGGCCGCGTGCGGACCAGCGCCCCCGACGGCGCGGCGGGCCAACTGCAACCGCGCCCCGCGGCTCCGCGCGCGCGCGCGCACGCGCCTCTTCCGCCTCCAGCTCCGCCCCGACCCCGGGGCGAAAGGCTAATAATCTTAAGAGCAGCCCGGGGAGGAGGCCAGACTGTCCCCTGGGCTGGCGCCTGTACAAGGAACTCGGAATGAATGCACTAAGAGCCTGCTCTGGCTCTACCGCGCTAGCTCGGACCCAGGACCGGACGAGGCAGGCAGGGTCTCCCCCTCGGCACCGCAACCTCCAGAATGAAGAAACCTCCACGCAGGTTGCCGGCTCTTGGTCCAAGCACGCAAATTTTTGTCCACTGCCTCAAGAGTGTCAGACACTCTTTTTAAGGCTAGGCCGTGTGTTCACGAGGGCAAGTGAGCCGAGGGTGGAGCTCGTGTTGGGTATGGGGAGGCTGGGACCAAGGAAGGCCAGGTTGCATCTGTGCTTGCAGATCAGATAAGGGGTAGCTGGCAGGAGGGGGCCGTCTTTGGTCAGTTACCTTCAACTCTCCCTCTAGAACGGAAACCCTCCGGGCTCTATTCGAGGCAGCTCCCCCCACGCTGGGGGCTGGATGTTTGTACTGTCACCCGGGGAAATATAGCGAGGACCAAAGTGGGCGGGAGACGCAGGCTCCTCAAGAAGTCTCCCATCTAGTGGCCAAAAATCAGGCATGCACTATAAAGTTTGACTAAAATCTGGTGTGCTGCTCATAGCAGAATATTTTCTATTCATAAAGATTAATACATATTCCTCAAGAAGTTAGACAGCCAATTACCTTAGGATTCAGCGGTTCCACTGCAGGCATCCACTCCAAAGTACTGAAAGCAGGGACTGTTTTGTAGGACTGTGAGCACAGCTGCATTATTCACAATAGCCAGTAGGTGGAAGCAAAGGAACCGGCCAACAGGTGGATGGAGGAAAAGAAAAAATAAAAAAGGTCGAGATGTGAAATGGAATCGTTAATATTCAGCAATCTTGCACGTGGCCAACCCCGGTTCCATCCCTGGCATCCCATATGGTCCCCTGAGCATCACTAAGAATATGTTCCTGAGTGTAGCGCCAGGAGTAACTCCTGAGAACTGCTGAGTGTGCCTCTCTCCTTCCCCCACCCCCCCACCAAAAGAAACCCACAGACCCGACACATAATGGATTCTGGGCTCCTAGTGGGTCACATGCATGGCCTCTGTGCATTCCTAGTGGCTCTAGTGGCTGGGAAGAGGAGGGGAGTGTGGAATGGAAAGGTTGGGGCTGCAGGGGCTGCTGTCCTCCAGTGAGTGACCAATGACCTCCCGAAGCCTGTTCTCACATAGGGAAGGAGTCCTGAGGCCAGGGTTGGCAGGGGACACTGCCAGTCTCTGACTGAGGGCGAGGTGGGCAGGACCCCAGCACGTATACGCATGGCATACAGCTGGAGACAGCGTCCGCCAGCTCTGCTAACCCTGCCTGATGACATGCAGGTGACTGTGTGACAGACCACGGAGTAAGGTAGTGCTGGCAGAGACATTCTTCCTCCTTCCTCTTCTCCCCTCCCTATTGGACCCCCTCTTGTGGCAGAGGAACAGTGCCTGGGGTTCCTGTTACCCTCTCCTTGTGCCACTCCCACACACACACACACACACACACACACACACACAATGTCCCCACATGATATGCCCTCTAGGGTGTCCCTGAGGGGGTTTCCGGAGATGGGTGGCAGGGTCAGCAGGTTCACTTGGAGCATCTCCCCTCTCACATGAGCTTGTGTCCACAATAGTTGAGCATCGGGAGCAAAATTCCATCAGAGACAAACCACCCACGTGAAGAGTAAAAGCCACTGCCATGCTGACATCATCATGGGCCACAGCTTCCAGCTTTACCTGTGTCACACCCACTTGTCTGTCTCTGCCCTAGCAGTGGCCCCACTGTTTCTGGCCATGTCACCTCCACCCTGTCCCTGTCACATGCTGAGGGCCCGGGCTCAGTGACTGAATTAATGCTTAATGCATCTTCTAGTGATAGGTCCTCGGGGGGCTCTTTTGTTTGTATTGCCTCCATGTTTTCTGCAGTTAAAATGTTAGGCCTGAAAGGATCATGTGTGAGGGGTGAGGTGAGGGCCTACAGCTAGAGAATGATGGGAAAGCACAAGGGAATCGGAGCTTTGATGCACACATTCCTGGGAAAGCCTTGCAGATCCCATTCTCCATTCTCTTTCTGTGTTTCTCTGTGTCTCTGTCTCTGTGTCTCTGTCTCTGTGTCTCTGTCTGTCTCTGTCTCCATGTCTGTCTCTGTCTGTCTGTCTGTCTGTCTGTCTCTCTCTCTCTCTCTCTCTCTCACACACACACACACACACACACACACACACACACACACACAAGAGCCCCAGTTGATGGAGGCCCAGCCCCAAGATCATTCATGTTTTTTGTTTCTGTCTTTATATCACCGACCACTGGAGGCATCACAACACAGGTCCTTGACATCTCTGCCTTCACTCAAGCTGCTCCAAGTATCCTCCCAGGCAGGAATCCCTGACTTTAGAAGAATGAGGCAGCTCATTCTGACAAACTAGTGGCCCTCCTTAGAGAAGAAAAGACATCAGAGGACTGAACAGTTTCCAGGACCAGGAGGAGTCTGGTCCCATTTCCCACTTCACAGGACACCTTCCCCATTAGCCCTGTTCAACACCTCAGGACTCACTGGGCCATGAGCTGTGAGAAAGGCTTTTCCTTCCGGTGAGAGAATTGGCCCGGTTTCCCCCTTGGGCTGACCTGGAACTGTCTGTAGCCCTGGAATAAGATCAGTGCTGACAACTAGTGTTGGATGAACATGCCAGGTACTGTGCTAAGTCTTGCAGACAAATTCGTTTGGTCCTCACTATTTATAAAGCAGGTGTTATTTGTGTGCACATTTGCTGGAGGGGAAACCCAGGGCTCAGAGAGGCTGGTTTTTTTTTTTTTAAATAGCACAGCGGGTAGGGCATTTGCCTTACAAGCGGCCAACATGGCCGACCCAAGTTCGATTCCTCCGCCCCTCTCGGAGAGCCCGGCAAGCTACCGAGAGTATTCGATATGCCAGACACAGTAACAACAAAGTCTCCAATGGAGACGTTACTGGGCCCGCTCGAGCAAATCGACGATCAACGGGAGGGCCTTTACCTTTTTTACCTTTTAATCACAGTCACTTGAGTTGTAAGGCTCAGTCAGGGTGGCCCATCATGCTGGTGCACTCAGACCATGGGACTCCTGGGGCTGCTGCTAAGTCTTAGGTGGGTGGGATGAAGAGTGTGACCTGTCCCCAGTTTTCCTGGCACTCACACCCACGTTTAAATACCCAGAAACTGATGCACAACTCCCTCCACCCTGGTAAGCAGTGCCATGGCCAGAGTTGAAACCCAGACGCTCTCTCTCCTCTCATCTTGGTGGGTCTCGGGGTTGCCCAGGAAAACGCAACCCAGTCCAGCTTTGAAGGGTCCCTTGCTTCACTTGCACACAGAGAGCCTGGCCAGATCAGAGCCAGCAGCTAGCATGTTGGTCACGGCCAGAGGATGTCCTGGTGGTCTGCAGGGAGCAGCCGACGGTGGGCTCATTGTGGGTCTAACCTGGGCTTCAGAAAGACTGAAGGCCAGGGACAGGCCTGGAGGCAGAACAAAGGAGCACATGCAGAGCTTGAACAGAACCCAGCAGGCATTCCTGCCCAGCCACAAGACTGGCACAGGCCACTGGGCTTTTACCCCCTGGATCTCCAGGTGAGGAGAAGAGCCAGGCCAATGGCCCTTCTTCCACAGCCCCATGAAGGCAGGAGAATGGCCTCCCCCAGAGCACTGTCCCGCTTTCTTAGAAGCCTCTGGAGGTATGAGCTTCTCTGGGGTCCATAAGGCTCATTGCCCAGGTACATGGGTTTGGGGAAAAGTATGACTCCAGCTTTTGTTGGGTTCAGAGCCTGCCCCTTTTGGGGAGAGGCGGATGCAGGGTCACTGGCCAGGAGTCTCTGAAGCCTTCCCAAAGCCCAGTCTTGGTAGCTGCACTTGGCAATGTCTCCCAGGCAAGAGAGTTTGGAGCTGGAAGAGTGTGGTCTAGGCCTCCCTGCAGCGTGTCAGCCATCCCTTGCCACCATCTGCAGCCTTTGGCGGCTGGATGTGGCTTCAAGGCCAGTTCCAGGCCTGGCCTGGTGGTGGAACTTCCCTTGTGTCCCGTCACTCTCTGGATACGGTGGGAGGGTAGAGGGGAGTGTGTCCACCGGGGCGTGGTTCCAGGCTCCAACGCAAGCAGCAGAGGCCTCAGGGTGCTGCAAAGTGGGGCTAGATTTGGACACAGGTCAGCAGTACCCCTCAGAGCTGAGCAAGCATGTTTTTTGCTACAGGCTGTCTCAGTCGCTGGCTCACGTTGTGTTGCCTTTCTTCTTCATTGTTTCCCACACCTTAAGCAGTGGGTGGCAGCTCCCAGTCTGCATTGGCCCTGTCCCCAGCCTGCCACCTCCGGAGAGATTCAGCAGCAGCCAAGTCCATCATTTAGGCCAAGGTCTCCTTCTAGAAGGGTCTCCCAGTTCACATTCTAACAGGCAACTTTTGGTGCTCTCTGGAACCCTTTGTCCTTTTCCCAGAGCAAGATCACAGTTTTTTTCTTCCTTTCTTCCTCCCTCCCTCCCTTCCTCCCTCCCTCCTTCCCTCCTTCCCTGTCCCCTTCCTCCCTCCCTTCCTTCCTTCCTTCCTTCCTTCCTTCCTTCCTTCCTTCCTTCCCCCCCCACCGCCCTTTGGGCTTTTTGGGCCACAACCAGAAATGCTCGGAGGTTACTTCTGGCTCTACACAGGAATTACTGCTGGTGGTGCTTGGGGGACCATATGGGATGCTGGGGATCAAACCTGGGTTGACTGCATGCAAGGCAAACACCCGACCCACTGT